TCCTGCTGACCACCCCTGTGTGCCCCCTTGCCCTACGTTGCCCCTTTCTCCTGGTAAACACAGATCTCTGAGAAACCCCTGCCCACATGGTGAAACATGTGCTTTTCAGCCTTACTCGGTGAAAAAGCCATGTGAGTTCATCGTGCCTTGACAGAAGTGCAGGTTCCACAAAGGAGTTATTAGCACCAGGCTGTGTGGGTTTGAATTTCTCAGCGTTTCCCATACTTTTCTCCTATTGATAACATTTCTTGTTGGAACAATAGAAGTGTGCCTTGCAACTACTCACAACATTAGTGACGGTGCTTGAGCCTGAATGATTTAAAGGGAAAGAATCCAACTCCCAAAAGACCATCTGGCTATCAGATATAATACAGCAATAAAGGTCAAGACTGCTTCTCAGGAGTTGGGAAAACGATGGGTTTTGACACTGAAGAGTCTCTTCAACCAGCTTGGTACATGCCTACCTGTCAGCTCCTAGTTTCAAGGCCTGCCACCACTGCTCCCTTGCCAGGAAAGGGATAACACAGGACACCAAATTCTGCAGGAAGGCCAGCCTAAGAACACCGGAAAAAGTGCAACACCTTATTATAGCTAGCAAAAGCTAGGGCATGGTCTCTGAGCTGTATCTTATTTTGTATCATAATCCTTTGACAGCTTCAAAGTGTTCATGAGATGTCTTGTCTCCTGGCTTTCCCACAACACAGGGAATAAAGGGCTCCAGCGACAACATCTGCCCTTCACAAAAAGCTAAGCCCATTCAGTCCCACACAATGAAAACCACAAAGCTATTTCAGTGACACCTCCCTCCTTCCTGTCAATTGCCCATTAAACTCAGGCTTCACTTCAGTATTTCCAAGTAAGAAGTTGTGTTGTCTTTGGATTTGTTACCTTACTGCACACTTCCCTCCTCCATTGCCATTCCCAGATTCTCAGCCACGCTCCCCTGCACAAGCTGTGCACTGGGAGAAGACGAGCACACCTCTGCCTCGGTCACTACAGGCAGGACCCTCACACAGCAGGATGCAGCACAGCTTTCCTCAGGCAGGTTCTGGGTTATTTTCGGTGCTGCCTCAAGGACCGTATCCAGGCAGAGATTTTTTTCATAAAACAGAATCAGGACTGACCAAAATTGTCCACATAGCTTCATTATTTTTCTTGCCTTTACCACGAAATAATGTTTGCTTAATTTTTATTGACATTTTTATGCAAATACAAGTAAGCAGCACTGTCCCCATTTTCCAGGTAAGAAAATGGAGTGCAGATGATATGCTAAAGGTTACACAGGGAGGCAATTATGTTGTCTCTGAGATCTCACGTTCTGCAAACTGCAGCAGGTCCAGTCTGCGCGGGGCAGTGTGATGCTCCTTGATCAGATGAGAACAGAGACCACCAGAAATCTCAGGCAAGAAGCAGAACTGACCTCCTTGCTGAGGTCCAAAGAGAGGCCCCCCAGCTACTAAATCCCATTCACAACCTGCCTCTGAATTCCCAAGGCCTAAGGCTTATACATTGAATCTGTTACTATTCTTTAGCCCATCTTAACCATCATTCTTGTAAATGTTCATATGAAAGAGTAGAAAAGGGAAGAGAAAGAGCTACAGAGGTGACTAGGCATGGGCCCAGTTCTGCTAGGAGGTGGGTGGCTGTCCTTAATGAAGGCAATTGAATACGGGTGTATCGGGCTCACAGACCCCGCTGTGTTAAGGGGAAGAGAGAAACAGAGGATACCATTTCCATTTGCTTCCCATTCCTTATTTATTCACCCTGTCCATCCAACATCCGTCCATCCTCACTGTAGACTCTCCAGAGCATTTAGAAGTGTCATGCAAACAAACCTGTCCTTTCACACTGATAACACTTCGGTCCACCCATTAAAAGTGTATGTGCAAGCAAGCAAAAATACACCCAGGCTCTGGCAAGCTGCACCTAGGCTCTGGCTGTGAAGTGCCCTCTCTAGAAAGAGCAGAGAGAGTCCTTGGTGCTGTTGATTTTAACCCTACCAGCGCTCCCCTTCTTCTTTTCTTGCCTTCCCCCAAAAGCGTGCCTCCTCCACACCACAAATGTGACTGGCACATGCAGGGACTCAAGAATGCAATTGATCCCGGACAACCAGCTGGAGGGTCAGTGTTTTCCCAGATCCCTGGGCAGCCCTGAAGAGCCACGCTGCACACTCCACCAGTCAGCGTGGGCAGAAGGTTATTCTCTCCAGGGCATTTGCAATCAATGTACCATGCACTAATGGACGCTTCCTCTATTGTTCAGCTGTGTGCCTGGATTGGCTGCATGGCTGTGGGAAACACCAGCAATCCTCAGACTCACATATCTGCCGAAGATCCCTGATGTATAAATAGAGGCAGCCTGTAACTGCCAAAGCATAGTCTTTCGTTCAGCACAGCAGCCTGACGTGGGGATCTGTGCCCAGGACTGAGGACAATGGCTCCCAGTAACACTCTCATGATCCACATGGAGGAGAAACTGCTCCCAAAAGAAAAGAACAAAGTAAGTAGAGCCCTGGACAGAATTGGAAAGGCTAGCCTGCGCTCTATGCGATGGGTTGCCTCTATCAAATAAATACTACCTGGGAAAAAATGAAATAAGGACGGAGAAAGTGGTCTGGGGGAAGGCCAATAGGTTAAAGAGAGATAATGGGTTTTAAAAATGAACTTGAGCAGGGAACAGGTAGGCAGCATTGCAAAGCTCTCCCACCAAAATAAAGCACCTTTAAACATGTGTATCAGGGCATCAGAAGAGGAAATTAGGTCAGGTCTCAGAAAATCCCTAACAATCTGTTCCATCTCTCTTACAGCTGAGGAAGCCAGTGGTGGAGAAAATGCGGCGTGACCGGATTAACAGCAGCATCGAGCAGCTAAAACTGCTCCTGGAGAAGGAGTTTCAGAGACACCAGCCCAACTCCAAGCTGGAGAAAGCCGACATCCTGGAAGTGGCTGTCAGCTACCTGAAGCAGCAGAGCCAGTTGCAGGACCAAAGTGAGTGCAGAGCATGTATTGCACACCACTTAAAGTCTGCTACCCCAGGCCTTTGCCCTCCCTCATAGCCCTGGCCCCTAAAGCACGCAGGGGTTATAACACACCAGGTCTAGCCACATGAGCAAGGCTTGTGAACTCAGGCTCCTGAAAGAAACTTAATGCATGAATCACCCCATCCCACCTTTTGGTCATGATCTTAACCCACTGCATTTTCTTTTCTAGCATTCACTCACAAGAATCTAGAGCAGGACTTCAACAGCGGATACCTGCGGTGCCTCAAGGAAGCCATGCATTTTCTGTCCTACTATGAACCCAAGAAGGAAACTCAGGTGCAGCTAATCAAGCATTTCTGCAAAGCTCAGATGGGTGCAGATGTCAGGTACTCTCCCGCTCTGCGTAGTCCACCCCTGTCACCCCATCTTTTTGCCAGAAAGCAACCTGCCCAGAAGAGTGTGGCTGCTGCTCCCACCATCTGGAGGCCCTGGTTTTTTTTTGAACTTTGCTTTATTCCTATGTTTAGCTACAAAAAACAGAGGGACCTGTGATTTTATAGTTCCTCTTTAAAGTAGGAAACATTGCTTTCCAAAGGTGGGAGGAGGGCGGTTATTGTTTTTCTGTCATAAGAAATGAGGGTTGCTGTGTAGTTTCCCTTCATAGTGAAGGAATGTGTTAGTATCTTGCAGCAAATTTGCTGCTTTTATTGATGGCTCCTAGCCAAAGAGAGGACCAAGTTCTGCAGTGATTTAGAGAGCCAAACGTCCTTCAGTTTCCATCACACTTTTGCTTGGCAAGGCTGTTGAATCTGTGGCTGTCAGTGGAAATCTTTCTACTAACTCTCTGGGTCACTGGTTCAAGTGCTCCATTGTCTCTAGATAATGTATTGACCTTCCTAAAGAAGGAGCACTTTGAAGAATGTATTTTGTATCATAGAGAATTGAGCCTTTACCTTTTGAGTGAAAGATGTTATTAAGAAATGCTGATTCTTCTGAAGTTCCTAAACTATTTTTAGTATACCTTCTTCCAGAAAGTTATGATGATAACAGAGAGCTCTAGGGAAAATTCTTTTAATGTCAGTATGTTCTCCTCTCAGTTGAGGGATAATTGATGCCTTTTGTAAAGGAAATACCTGTGATATACCTTAAGGAAAAGGGGAGGAAGGGAGGCAATAAATGTTTTATAATCATTCACTGAACTAAAGAGCTTAAAAAGCTTTTATAAAGTTGTGATGTATTCATCCTGTGTGATGTTCAGCTTTGGTGTCTTCACTGTACAATACAATAAAAATGGTTTTAGTCATTAATCCTTTGGTTTGAAATTATTAAAGAGACTAATACTCCCGGACTAAGTGTTGCATGTAGACGCCTTCCACAGTGGGAAAGCTACTGAGAGATGTCATATTTCTGAGCCCTTCATTCCAGTACATAGTTTATATTTGTGAAATTCTTTTGGCAGCACAGGATTTCAGATACTGCAAAGAGGCAACCTCTGGAAAAGTTATCCAACTTTAAAATGGAGATGAAATTGAAGTGAGATACTGAGAGCTGTAGACCCAGATACTTAACAGGAACTTATTCAGATTTCAGCCAATCACTAATTTCACAGCCAGTTTATTTCCCCCATTTCCCATTGATTTGCCCAACAACTCGAGTTCAGTCTTATGCCTTCTGTCCATTTAGGAGGTAGCAATATACAAAACTAATAACTTCCAGTTTGGCACCTGACTCCACTTGGGGATCTTACCCACCTCTTGTGTGGTACTGGAACTACCCACAGTGGGGTGAACTAGTTTTCGTTGTCTTTTAATTTTAGCACCTTCTGTTACCTAAACATGAATTCAGTTAGGCAATAACAGAATTACTTTCTTTACTGAAGTGAAATCTGACTGTATATGGCTAAAGTATACATGATTTGATAGCAAACGGTGACTGAAAAAGTGTTTCATCTCCTAAATTATTTCCCCATAGTCTTATTTTCTTCAAACATTTTATTCTCTTTCTCTGACATCCACCTAAGGGTCTAAAACATGCCATGAGTAAGGGCCTGTGCCTTGGAGTTGAGAAACTGCTGCACTCCACCAGGCTTTAGAGTTGTTTTTTCCTATCCAGCCTGTTGCAGAGATGATCTCTCTGCCAAGTATCTTTTAAATTATTCTCCCTCGATTTTTTCACCCCACCGCAATTCAGAAAACAAATCTAGCATATCCTCTTACATGGAGATTTACAACAGCCTGCCTACCTGGCTTGTACCAGCTGGGTGACCCCAATTAAGCAGCTTGGGCTTCCTGCGAGTTGCAGAGAGAGGCACTGGAGCAGCCGTGTGCAGTCTCAGCTCAAGCCCTGTTAGACTCTTCTGCAATTCTCTATGTATAGGCCACAGGATTCCTGTCTCCTGAGGATTAAGTCAGCTGCACTCTGGTGATGTGAGGAGGATTAGCACCTGTTGTAAAGGATGTGCTTGGCCTTCTCCCACACAGACACACAGAGGGAATGAATGAAGTGAACAAGCAAAAAGGGATTCAGAAGGTATTTGGGGAAGCAGGAAGAAAAGCACAAGAAGGGGATCCTAAAGCCACCCTTGAGCACCTTAAACACAAACAGTCTCTCCAAAACACAGCACTTTCCCCAATAGTCACTTTTCCTTAGAAGAGCTCCTATTCATTGCTCAGTGGGGACTATTCACTGTTTATTTGCCCTTCTCGTCCAAGTAAAATAAATCTGCGCAAATAATCAGTTCACAAAACTATTATTTAATCACAGTAACACATTGATTTGGCTGTATGACAGGGAACCCACTCATTCTTCCAGAGATGTAGTAACAGCATGAAACACCACTGGTCAACATTTCAACTCTCCTCAGATTCCCTGGGAGAAATGCCCTTGAAAAACTTTGTTTCTAGCACATGCTTTGTTCCTTAAACAAAAGGAAACCTACAGTATCTGATATTGTCAAATGGCTGCTTAATTAAGCACTAAACAAACTCAGATCTGACAAGATCAAACTGCATTCAAACACTGTTAGATGTACCTGGCCAGTCCTCACCTGACTGGTGATGAAAACCTTTGTTATACATATGGAAAGGACCAAAAAGACAGCTAGCCAGGTCAAGACCGTATTGCTCTACCTCATTAGAGTTGCATGGATCATTTTGGCTATTATTTTACCCTGAATGCATGAGCTGGTCGAGTGCTCTTCATCTGGCTGCCAATGCAACACAGGGTGGGTTTTTGGTACAGTTCTGCAGTTCATCAGGGGCTGATACCAATGCTGCAGATAGATTTGTTCTTCCTAATGAGCTATTAAATAATTCAGAAGAGATATTTTTAGATGTTGTGGTTGCTTAGTGATCTCAGAAAAGTCAGTTCACCTTGCTGTGTTCAACTTGTCTTTGTCAATTAGTACAAGCTTCTGAATCCCAGCAAAATTCAAGCTGTTCATCCATGCCTGTGCATTTTTAAATCAAGCCTAATTAACACAGTTTGCAGATAGGAAGTTTGGAGGAGTTCAGATTCAGTCAAAATGCAATGATGTGTCCTAAAGCGCATGGCACCACAGGGACTGGGAACGGAGTCACACAAGGCATAAAGTCCACTGCTATTATGTGGACAGGTATCTTCTGCAGCTAACATGTTACTACCCGAGTAAACCATGTTGTGAATGTCACAGTTCAGTGACATTCATCACTTCAGTTTGTTTAAAACAGACAGCATAAATGGAAAAGAAAAAAGGAAACCAAAGAAAACCTGCACAAAATGAAGACTGTTGGATTTGAACCCAGTCCCCTCTAAGTCTAGGCTAACACAGGAACAGGCTGTGGAAATTACAAACTCTGCAAAGCTCATGTGAGATCCAAGTCAGACTTGTCAGCGCAGAACTCCTGCCACCTATGTTGGCACAAATCTGGGGAGACACAGCGACTGTCATTCAAGCCACAAGGTCTTATTCTCATTTACCCTGAGGCCATATTACATTACTCTGGCTACAGTGGGAGAGTCGATCATGCTTAGCTGTCAGTGTACGTGAGATTCAGACCTGCTGTTTGCAGAGTGGTGTAAGGGAGAGAAACAGCAAGCACCTCCTTTCTGGGCAGGGGGGGAGAAACCAAACGCCACCAGAAAGCCTCCCTTTGCTCCAGGGCATCAGATCCATGGCTGGTACAAGTGCACCGCTTCTGTTTTTCGACAGCCAAAGACTTGCCCTTCTGGGCTTTAGTTTACCTATTACTTGAGAGCTAAAAGCCAGACCTCCGGTTTCACCAGTCTTCGCACAGCAAAGGTTATGTTTACAATTTATTAATTATTATCACTTATAATAATTGAACGCAAAGCTTCTTATTGCTCCTCTATGGCCTGGGGTGACGCTCCCCTGCTCCAACACATTCCCACCCTTAGGGAAGATGTTGTTTATTATGCTGATCCCACAGCCCAGGAATATTCTCCTGACAAAGCCCCTATTAACCTCAGAGTGTGGGCCTGAGTTTCTCAGAGTTTCCCACACTTTCTTCCCTATTTATGACATTCAAAGGGACCACAAAGGAAGCGTGCCTCACAACAGCCCACATTAGTGACGCTTTTTGGCTCTGCATTGTGATGACCAGCAATTCCTGTCCCGATAGACCATCTGGAGAGCTATTTTCCCAAGGAACACATTGATCGATCAGTATTATGCGAGAGCCCTTTTAAAACTTGGGAATGTTATGCTCTTTGACACTAAGTAGGTGTCTTGAGAGGGGTTGTCAGAAAGATTTTAAACCATTTAAGGAAGGCACAGAAAAATAAAAATCGTAATTATTTCTTTAAAAACACCTTCAATAGCATTTGTGAGACAGGCTGACATGAATGTAGGAAGTGGTCTAAAATAAAAATGCTCCAAAAGTGATATAGAAAGGAAAACCTTGAGCCATCAAGTTGTGTGCTATGAGTACAGCCACAGATGTACAGAAGCATTGCTCTTTAATTCTGCATAACACGGACAATGAAATTCTGGTTTTCTGTACTCTTTTCTGATAGTCCACCTTCCTCCTGACCTGTTGCTACCTTGCAATACACCGGGTTCCCCTCCACAGAAAGCTAATATCGGATGGGCTACCAATTGGTATTACACATAATAGCAGCATTTGTGAAAACAGTGTGCAAAGTAAGTTTGCACCTGGGCTGAAATCACCACCTACAAACCAGAAGCAGAAAGCTCCATGGCTGAGTACTGATCTCCTAGGCTAGCAGTTCTCCAGATGGTTTGATTTATGGACTATAATGAACACAAGCCTACTGATGATAGTCTTGAGGTTGGTTAGTTACCTTTCCTGGACCCTCTGTGGTTGTTCCTGAGCTCAAAGCAAGCTATAGCACACAGATTGCACACCACAGCTCAGGGTCAAATGGTGAGGATCTACAGGTGGAGACAATTAACACAGTGATTCTTGCCTTAGGACTCCTACCTGATGTGCAAGGTCTGTAAGCGCAGATTCATTGACAACTGTTTGCAGATTCCTGTTTCCCCTGACTGTCCCAGTATCTATTCCGAGTGGAGACACCTCCCTGTTTTCTTG